CTCAATGCTGCCCCGAGGAGCGGAAACCAAACCAACAGAAAAACCCAGCCAGAAAAGAGCGGAAAAATCAACATAAGGTTACCCCCCAAAATAAAATGCTTTTGGTTTGGTTTGTTTTTTGTTGTCGTTTGTTTCGCACTTTTTTTTTTCCTGTTTCATTTTTGATTTTTTTTTTCCTTGTCGTTTTCGTTGGTGTTTTGTTTCGTTTCGTTTCGTTTTGTTTTAAATAGGCTAAAAAGCTGAACATTGGGATTTCAGGAGAGGACACCGAACCCTGTCGCTCGGGGAGACGTTGCGCCGGGTTTTCCCGTCGGGCTGCGAAATCCCGTCCTCCTCCTCTTCCTCCTCCTCGTCGTTGTCGTCATCTCCTCCTTCCGGGTGCTGACTCTTTTCTCTCATTCCCTGGTGTTTTTGTTGTTGGTGGTGGTTTTTTGTTGTTGCTGTTGTTTTTTTTTTTTCTTTTCTTCGCTTCTCTTGGCGTGTGGATGGTGGTTTTCTTCTCGTCGTCGTTGTTGGTTGTGGTGGTGGTGGTTTGTATTTTTTTTTTCTGACTCGCTCCGTGTGTCACCAGTTCCCCATCTCTCTCTCTCTCTCTCTCTCTCTCTTCTCCTCTGCTCCTCTAGACACAGGCGAAGTATTCCTTGAGGGGGGCGAAGAGGTGGCGGATGACCGGCACGCTCCAGGACCTGCCGAGCAGTCTCTGCCGGGCCAGGCGGCTCATGTTGGACACGTCCGTGTAATGCACCGGGAACCCAAACACCCTGGGGGGGAAAAAGGGGGTGCAAGGGGGTCAGGGAGGGTTGCCGGCCCCGATGGAGGGTTTGCAGCCCCCCCCCAGCCCCCATCTCCTTGGGGTCCCCCCGTGGTACCTCTCCATCTCCGTGCACCACAGGATGTCCTCCTTCTCGTTCATGAAGACGGGGAAGTGCTGGTCCTTGCCCTGCTTGATGGAGTTGGAGCGGGTGGTGATGGTTCGCACTTTGCTGAACTGCAGAGAGGGAGGGGGCTGGTCACGCTGGGACACACACACACACACACACACACACACACACACACAGACCCCCGGCGGGCAGGGGGACTCAGAATCCCAGAATCCCACAATTTTAGGGACCTCGAGATCATCTGCCACAAGCAGGGCCACCCAGTCCCAGAATCCCATAATTTTAGGGACCTCGAGATCATCTGCCACAAGCAGGGCCACCCAGAGCAGTTGGATGGGAAAGCATCCAGGTGGGGTCTCAATCTCTCCAGATTCCCACCCCACGGGGTGCCGGTGTCCCCCCCCCTCCACCCTCACGGGACCCCTCCCCTGCAGCCCCAGGGGTCTGGGACCACCAGGGACGGCTGTGGGACCCCCTGCCCCCCGGCTGGTGGCTGACCTTGGCTATCCTGCCGTGCTCCAGGCACTCCTGCAGCTCCAGCTTATCGTTGACCGTGGAGGCGAGTGGCCTGGGGGGGCAGAGAGACACGGGGGGGTGGGCACAGGGTGACACCCCCACACGGGCATAGGGCAGCTCTCCAGCTTTGGGGGTCGGGTGGCCAAAGCTGTTTTGGGGAGACTGAACCAGAAGCAGATCCCTATGGGAGCCCACCTGTGGCCACCAGCTGTGTGCCACCATGGCCCCCATGCAGGAGGGACACCTCCGTGTCACCCCACCAGCACAGACGAGCAAGGACAGGACCAGCTCCATGGGGACCACCACTTTTGGGGTGTGCCATCACCCAGTGCCACTTCATGAGCCCCTTGGCTCTTGGCCAGCACTGACCAAGGCCAGGGGACCCCCCCAAGAGCCCCATCCAGGCTGGGAGGACCCAGGGCTGGGTGATCAGTGGGTGGCAGTGCCACGTCCCCATGTCCCCCAGGGCAGCTCCGCTGGTTGGTGGGGTGGCCAAGGCTGTTTTGGGAGGACTGAATGAGGAACAGATCCCCACGGGAGCCCACCTGTGGCCACCAGCCGTGTGCCACCGCAGCCCCTATCCAGCAGGGACATCTCCATGTCACCCCACTGGCACAAAGGAGCAAGGACAGGACCAGCTCTGTGGGAACCACCACTTTTGGGGTGTTCCACCACCCAGCGCCACTTTGTGAGCCCCCCTCTGTTCTTGCCTGGTGCTGACTGGGGTGTCAGAGGACCCCCCAAGAGCCCCCTCTGGTCTGGGGGAGGACCTGTGGCCGGGTGGCAAGCATGGGGGCCCCGGGGTGCTGTCACCAACCTGTTCATCCCGGGAAGGTTCCCCCAGAAGTACCGTGCCCGATGTGCTGCAGACACTTCTTTGGCATCAATCATGACGGGGTTGGACTGTGGGAAGGGGGAGGAGGAGTCAGGGGGGCTCGGCAGCCGGCGGCGGGGGCGAGGACAGGACCCCTCGGTGGCCCCCCACTTTGGCACTCACCTCCAGGAAGCGGGAGATGTCCCTCTTGTCGCTCACCCCCATGGCCACCACGTTCTCGAAGAGCCAGAAGAAGGGCCGGTCGTCGCCCTCCTTGGGCCGGGCTTCGTGGAGCAGGCGGTAAAACTCGAAGAAGAGCCTCCCGGTGCCCTCTGGGCAGGAGAGAGCCAGGGGGGCCACTGTCAGCGCCGGGGGGGCCACTGGGGAACCGGGGCACAGCTCCAGCCTGGGGGGTGGGGGGACACCTACCGTAGAGCCCCTTCCTGGCCGGGTTGACGATGGAGAGGTCGTTGCAGGGGCTCCCCCCGATCACCAGGTCGAAGGGACCCCACTCCTGTATCTGCAAGAGGGGGAGTCCCCGGTGAGACGGGTGCTGGTTTGGGGGAC